GGAGTTGGGAATTTTTAGAGGCATTTTGCTGCCTTGTCTTCTCATGTTTCTATTTTTGGTTTGTTTGCAGGGCTGAGGCTTGCAGGTTGGTTATAGTGGGTAGGTTTTTTGCTAGTATATAGTTGGATTTTTTTTTGTTGTTGTTGTTGTTTGTTTGTTTGTTTTGATAGTGGGAATCAAACTCAGGATCTCCTGCTTGCCAGGCAGGTGCTGTGCCACTGAGCTATATCCTCGGCCTTGAACTTTTTTTTTTTTTTTTGCTAGTGTAGAGACCTCCTTAGTTAATATCTATTTTCAGAGATATCCTTTGGGAATGGCTAACTATTGGCCTTTGCCTCTTTTCCAGGATCCAACCACTTCTGTTTATTTGGGAGGAGAGTTTCAGCTTATTTGGCCCAGTATCTAGTTCTTTGGGAATAGGTTGCAGTATTGTTTATGACCTCCAAGCAATCCAGATATCGGTATACAAGAAAAAACCAATTGATGGCAGCAACTATATCACCTTGGCTACAGTAATAAAATCAGCAACAATAGTAGTGGTAAATACAAACCGGGTATTGAGACACCTTAAGGAATCAGTAATGTATCACCCTTAACCATAGAAAAGAAATCTACGATTATAGTATAAACAGTAACACTAGCCAGATACTGACCTACAGTAAATACCTACTCAACGGGACAACTTTACCTCCACTAATAATACAACCGTGTTCAACTGTTACAGCAATTTTGGATTTTACCAAGTGTTACAGCAAAACCAGATTTATTGGTGGTGGAGGAAGCCAGCTACACTCCGAGAAGTGGAGGGAACGCTTTATTATACCATCCGGCCCAGAGGAGTTCGGCATCCCAAAATCTGAGCCCCGAGTCTGGGTTAGGGGAGCTGTTATATAGAATCTGTGGCAGGAAAGGGCAAGCCAAACAAATGTAATACTTACAGGTAAGAGTTTTACAACTTTGGACACCTGGTTGGCCTTGGCTCCCTGGGGAGTCAGTAACAAGGGACTGTGAAGCAGTTCAAATGGGAAAGGGAGGGTGGCGCAGCAAGGTAAGTAAGCTGCTGTAATCTTGTGGTTAAAACATAGAACAAAGTAAGAACCTGACTCTATTTGATGGGCGGGGCTTGGGGTTGAGTTCTTGGGCAGGGTGCCCCAGGGTGGTCTATTTTTCTGTCTCACAACCACAGTAAATAACTAACTATCTACAGAGTAATACAACTTAATGTTTATACTAGTATTGGTAGAGGTTTCAAGGAATGGTAGCATGAAAAAAGTAGAATTTTAAAAATTAAGTGATGGAGGATGAGAAGCAGTTGATAGAAGCCAGGCATAGTAGCCCACACCTGTAATCCCAGCACTCGGGAGGCTGAGGCAGGAGGATCACTGTGTGTTTAAGACCAGCCAGGGCTACAAAGTGAGTTTAAGGCCAGCCTGAACTGCATAGAGAGATCCTGTCTCAAAAAGACAAAAAAAAA